TCGTAGTTAATTTTGCAACAGGGGCATATGTTTCATTGTAGTCTAGACCCTTTTGTTGCGAGTAGCCTTTTTGCAACAAGCCTTATATTTTAACACATTCCCTTGACAATCCCTTTTTATCTTGAAAATCTACTTAGATCTAATCAATTTCCTATTTTTCGGAGCTTGACACAATGTCCAGGTTTTGTTTTTTGTTAAAGATATCAATTTTTCCTCTATTGCTAACTTCCACTGTCTTCTATCATCTCTTTGTTTAATATCTTGCAAATTTTCTGGCACTTCATCAACAAAACCTAACGTATTCAAAGCTAAATAACTCATATCGTAATCATCAAACTATTTTGGAACTGTTCTGTCTCTTGCTTTTTTCTTTCGTTTTAATTTCATTTTCTTTTATTCAAGATTATTTTAATTTTTTTTATTTAGAGTTTCCGATTCAAGGTCAGTTTCTGAATTTATGTCATCTTCCTTACACGTAATATCGCTATTTCTTAAATCTAAAAACTCTTCCGAGATGAAATTATCAAATTTATTTTCAGTTTCATCTACACAACTTCATGTTTGTTTTTCTGCTCAAGCTTGTCACCTAATGGGATTTTTACTTCATCAAAGACGATATCTCTAGCTATGATTTTCCGAAGTTCAGGACTCCATAGTCGATATCCATTTTGAGCATACCCTACCATAGTGCATCTCTCAGACTTTGTATCCAATTTGTTGCGCAACTGTTTTGGGGTTTGTCTATATGCTATACTTTCAAAGGATCGTAAGTGTGCTAAATCTGGTATTTTTCCATACCAAAGTTCAAATGGGGTGCAGTGACTAGAGATACCTCGACTATGTACTCTATTGTGTAGGTATGTTGCTGTAAGTATAGCTTCTCCCCTTAAATCCTTTGAGATGCATCCATCGAAAATTAATGTTCTTGCTTTTTCTAAGAAAGTTCTGTTCATTCGCTCACTGACTCCATTTTGTTGCGACGTGTACGGTACAGTGTACTCCAAAACTACACCCATTTCCCTACAAAATACTTTGAAGTCTTGCGAATTATATTCTCCGCCGTTATCGCATAAGCGAGATATTTTCATGCCAAAATGTGCCTTCTGCCATTCCGTAGAATTCTTTAAAATAATTTTAAACTTCAGATTTGCTACTTAAAAGGTATGTAACAGTCATATGCGTAAAGTCGTCTACAAAAACGACGAAATCCGTTTGTTATTGTAAGTAGCTGGACTAATAGGGCCACATATATCTGAATATATTAGTTCCAGAGGTCTGTCAGTTCTTGGTAGAGACTTAAGTTTAAATGTTTCCTATTTAACTTTCCACATATGCACGGTTCACAAATGTACTGCTTATTATGTTCATTCCTGATATTTATTCCCATATTACTTTTCACTATACGTTTCAAAGTGTCAAAACAAATGTGTCCCAATCTTCTGTGTCAAAGTATTGTATCAGAGCTAAATCTCACAAATGCAGCTTCTTTATTAGATATAATCTTCATATTTATTTTATATATGTTTCCTTTTCCGATTCCAGTAGCTATAATTCTGGAATTCATTAAAATTTGCACTTGACCATTTTTAAAGACTACAGTCATTCCTGCCTTTCTACTCGTTCAACTGAAAAAAGGTTGAAGGCCAAATCTGGCACATAAAGCACATCTTCTATTATACAAGGAACTCTTTTATGTTCTACTGTGCATTCACTCTTTATATTACCCTTTTGTCGAGCTTCAAATGTCTGACCACATTTTGAAAATGTAATTTTCACTGGTTTTTCTAGATCTTCAAATGTTTGAAAATATTCTATGGTATTTATCATATGATCTGTTGCACCAGAATCAAGAAACCAAGTAATATTTGTGTTATATCTAGTTTCATCGTTATTTGCAGATATCATAAAAGCAATTTCATCAGAAGTTTCTGCTGAATGTAGTTCTTCCGTAGCTTTGACATTTTCAACACATATATTTGCTCTACTTCTAAGATTTTTAAACTTGTTTCTACATTGGTACTGGAAATGGCCAATTTTACCATATTTATAACACTTAAGTTATGTTTTAGCATTACTTCCAAATGCGGCTGATGTAGAACTACTTTCGTCTTCAGTGTTGTTTTTCCTTTTCGTTTCTTCTTGCAACAATCTAGAATTTGCGAAATCCATTGTTAGCTTTTCAATAGCAATAGTTTCTAAGTAAGAGAGTCGAAGTATTTTGGCATTGTTAAAAAAAATGAATGACTATCTAGTTCTTCAAGTTTGGCCCCAGTAGATTTCAATTTCCGGACTACTCAAAAATTCAAGAAAATATTTTTCCATGCCAGATTCACCGTATTTCATAGTCAACAGCTTCTTTCTCAAATAAAGTTGACTGGCAATTTCTTTTCTTTCAAATACATTTTCAAGTGATGTCCATATTTCTTTTGGGTTTCGTTTTTCCCTAACATATTCTGCAATCCTTTGAATTATTAAAGATTTACATTTCCTGTAAGATGTATACTGAATACAATGTAATAGTTTATACTCCTCCAGCAAAGTTTCAACTCGAAACTTCCAACTACTAAAATTCGTTCCATCAAATAACGCTATACGATATTTTTCTTCTTCCGTGCCTGGGCCCATAACCAGATGTTTTTTTAATTATACACCAGGATCACGAAAATATCGTATATTGAAAAAAGTATTAACTGACAACTTTTTATATTTCAAAAGTAAATGTCATTTTTCTTTAACAGAAGTTCTAAATTACTAATTTATTAAGCTGTGGTTGGTTGTAAGTGAAAGTTACTTACAATTTATGACCAGGACGGAGCATTCTTAACTGGTTCGCATAACTGAACAAGTTCCGGTCCTATACTGGTAAAGTAGAAATTTATTTCTTCCACTATTAACTTTGAGTCATTATCAGTGAGGAAATTTCAAAGCACTTTTTTTTGTTTGGAAATACTAATACTAGTATTGAGTTTTCTACATTTTTTAGGATCACTTCCAGCACTAGTTAGTTGCGTATGCAAATCTTCGCTTTAAATGTCAAAACTGCGAACAGCAAATGCTACTCCTGTGTAACTTTTTGAAAGCGTTTTTCGTTTTTCAAATACAAACAGCACAGCAAGTAGAGAATACCAAAACGTGCGTGTTTAATACTTTTGTTAGTTGTTCGTCGCGTTTCTAGAGAGACGCGCTGAGTGCTTTCAACAAACGCTGGTTAGATTATCATTATAACCCAAATATTTAATATATAAAAAAAAACATTATTTTTTGAAGTATATTAAAATAAAACACGTCGCCATTTCTTGCACGTATTCTTTATTGTACCCACTTCTCAGAAATTGTAAATAAAAAATAGAATTCGTTAATCTAACGTTATTGATACATTCCATCTTAGATGAAGTATGTAATTAGAAACTTCGTTTCGAAACAATAACCCTAATAAAAAAAATATATTTCACAAAAAAATAATGTCAACCAACATAGCTAAAGACATAATTTCGTAATTTAAGTTTAAATCCCCTCCTAAAAGTAGTTTGAGAGAAAGTAATGTGTCGAGGTGATAATTGTATTTTATTTTGGACTATTTTCATTTAACGTTTTAGTTAGAAAACATACAAAAAAAGGCTCTTAAATATTTAAAAAATGCATTTTCCTGTGATGTGTTAAATACGTTACTATTTTAACACATTAACAAATAAATTTAATACACAGTTTAAATTATAGATTTATGTCAATTACTATCTCTAAATTAACATAATTGACGTTTAAAATAAATATGCAATTAGCTTTAAATTATAGTTATACCAATTAATTAGCTTGATTTTAATGACCAATAACTTTTGTCAATTATACTAATTAGGTCCGTCAAAATGAGCAAAAATGTCCGAAGATTGATAAAAACAACAACGTTTGTTAACCTGGCTTTTTAATTAGTGTTTGACTGCTATAAATCATATAGTTAATATTTATATATTTGCCATTTTTCAATTAAACACACCGAAAAAACAATAATTCACAAAACACTTACTTTTGTTGTTTTTGCCAATCATCTACTATTTAAAGTCACGTGATTTGGACCTATCTATTTAAGACATAAATCAAGTACATACTATTTAATGATTAACAATCAACGTAACTGACCGTCATAAAAGTCTATTAAGACTAAAATGAAACTGTATTAATTGACGTTTAAAATTTCCGCTATCAACGTCTGTTAATTACTAATTCATTCATCGGGCCAAGTAATATTTAACTGTCAACACATAATTGACAGTAATGAGAGTCAATCAAGACGAAAAAAGAAAAGAAACCCATGGTGTAATAAAAAATAGTACTAATTAACGTTGTCAATTAAGGCGAAAAAAAGAGTTTAAATGAAACCCAATAACTTTAGATAAGTAATTAAATAAAAGTAATATGCTTGATTATAAATTAAAGCTAATTGTTACCAACTAATCTGTAATTAGAACAGACATTTTAATTTATGTTGTCTAAAATGTCCAATTAAGTATAATTGAAGTCTAATTGCCAAGTAATGTTAAATAAATCTGAATATTAACTGAAACTGTTTTTTTTTTTAATAAAGAGGAAAAAAGAATCTAAATGAAATTCAAAAAATGATTATCATCTTAAATGAGCAATTAATCGAAAGTAATAACTTAACTGATTATCAATTAAGTCTAATTGAAACTAAATAATTCGTTATTAAAATAGACATTTGAAATTTTGAAACACTAAACTTAATTTTAATTATCGTTGGCATATAACATTGTCAATTAACAGCTCTTAATTGTTAAGAAATTACACAACATTAAATGTTTTCTAGTAATATGTCAATTAAATGAAATTAAGTCATCGATTTCCTAATGGAAATCAATAAAAACGTACTTGACACAGAATACTTAAAAAATTGATGCCTTGCGGGCTTAAACTTAACGATTAGTAATGGCAAAAAAGTGCTAAAATGTTTAAAATTAATTTTACTAAAAGTTTAAATAATATTATGATCCTACATCTAACACGGAGTGATCAAAATTTAAATAATCCTCGATTTCATGGCACAAAAAACGTTTGTTACTTTATTCCAATAATGGATTGCTAAAATTTGTATCATTCCGTGAATACTTACAACAATTTAGGAACATCCTATGTGTAAAAAAGAACTAAACGTAATATTATAAAAATATCCTTCAAAAAAATCATGATCGATAATTTGACAACGACGGACGAGTTCAACGGTGCAACAATGTAAAAATCACAAACTGTTAACTATCAGAGCATTTTCGACCACCAAATTTGACATTGTTTCAAAAATAATCGACGGCAAAATAATCTGATGTATGAAATTTTTAAAACAATTCTATACATACAAAATGTCCCGTATTTTTTAATATAGTGATTTTTTTGAAAACGTTCAAGTAACGCCAAAGAAAAAACTAGTAGCGTCAAGTCCGGGGATCGTGCTGGCTATGGAACTACTCTTGAAAACTGACATTATTTGATTTCTGTAGGTATTTAAAAAAGTAATCAAAAGTTGATATGCTAAGCGTCAAATTTGGAGTCAAATATGTCTTAATTTCAATTATTACTAGATTTACCATTTGTCATTTGCGTACGAAATTAAAGCATATTAAAGGGATATTTTATGTTACATTTTGGTACTTATCTAGTGTCAATGACGTCATCGATAACGATGTGACCTAAAGATCTTTTATTCTATATTTACCGAGGTTTTGAATTTAATAATTTGACAGAAATGTAGAATTTCAGTCATTACTTTACACGATTTTTTTGTTAAATTTGGAGAACAGAAAAAATTGTTAGCTCACAACGAATTTTTTAAATATTAGATTGATAATAAAGGACCATTTCCATAGTCGCCGCGATTACCAGATTTATCACTCATAGATTTTTTCAAGACAGTTATTTGATCAGTTTTTAAGTAATTGTGAGTTAAACAAACATGGGACATCCGGTATACTATGTGAACGTGACGTTCCTTTATTTGTGCGATGATAAATTAAAAAACTCGTTTTTTTACAGAATGTTAAAAAAGAATTAAAATAAAAAGTAAGATCTAGAAATATATATGGCACTATTTGAGTTTGTTCATGTTCCCGTTTAAGTTTTTCTAATGGCTCATTTTTTAAATTTAAAAAATCTCATTCAGTATTATACAACATTGACTATCTACCAATGCACTGTAAAATTCAGTTTTATCTAAATACAGCACACTTAACCTACATTTTGACATTTGACGTATGACCAAATATGTCAAATAATTGGAAAACATTAAATTCGGTATTTTTATATCCATTTGACTAATTTTAGGTTTTATGTTTACAAATTTTTACAAAAAAAAAGAAGAAATTCGTGACAAAATCAATATCGGAAAATAATCCCTACATACTAAAAACCCGTTAAAATTGTGTTAGATACATTCACAAAAAAAAAACAATGAAGAATAAGTTTTGTGTAGATATGTTACAATAAAGTAATGAACACCGAAGTTATATATCTGTGGGTAATATATCCGGTATAAGGTGCTTGCACAATTCTTCTTCAGATGACACAAAAGTCACTTTGCTGGTGGTATTTTCATCCAACCTAAACAAAATGGAAAAAACATAAATAGATACAGAAAATACCTCAAGATTTTATACAAATATATGACAAACTGGGATACTAATAAAACACAGTTTTAAAGTAGTTCACTCGCGACAGTTGTACACAAAAATATCGCCTAATGGTAAATACCAAAACTTCGAGATTCTCAATGCTAAAAAATGTTATTTTTGTAAGAGACTGTACACATAATTTATACACTCAGGTGCAAAAAATTCGATCCATATCTTTTTTTTTTGAGTGAAGAAAACAGACGTTTAGAGACTTAACTGTATGTATGTATTAAATTTCAATAAGACTCACAGTTTATACAAAAAAATCATTTATTTATTACAGAGGCATACGGCATAATTCGGAAATATGACAAAATTATGAAACTTCCTGGAATAAACAGTTATAACAAAATGTGGTCCATATAATGAGATAATTAATATTTAGTGTTTTCTCCTCGGGCCCTTATAATAGCCTGAAGACGTCTCGACATCAAGGTAATTAACCTCTGGATATTAAATTGGCCCAATTGGTCCCATATTGCCTGAAGAGCCTTACCATGCTCAGCCAAGTTGTTTGGACGAGGTACCTGTGTTCTATATATCCATAAATTGGATTGAGATCGGGACTGCAAACTGGCCAGTTCATCTGGACAATTCCCACCTCTCCTAAATATGCATTGACGCGTGCTATCGTCCATAAAAATAAAATTGGGTCCTATGAACGGAGCAAAAGGTACCACATGCTGATCTAAAATGGTTATGTACCTTTTAGCGATCATTGAACCTCTATCCACAATAATCAGATCAATACGGGCTTCGGAACTTATACCAGCCTAATCCATAACTGAGCCTCCTCAGTAGCTTATTCTTTTTGCAATATTGCATTAGGAATATCGCTCTCATCTTCTGTAAATTCTTACGCGGCCGTTTGATGACCTCAGATAAAACCTGGACTCATACGAGAACAATAGGTTGTTCCAATCCGTGTCATTCTAGCTTTCGTATTCTCTTGAAAAGGCAAGTGGAGCTCTGCGATGTTTTACGGATAGCAGTGGACATAGTCTTCTGGATAATAAATTAAATTATGTTCAGCAAGTCGTCGACGAACTGTCCATCTGCTTACATCCACAGGTCTCACTTCGTTCAGAAGCTTTGGCAGTTTAACTAAAGTTAGATGCCGCTTTCTCAAACATGAAGAGATCAAAAATCAACCATCTCGTTCGAATGTTGCCCTTTTACGGCTCCTGGCATCCTAGTGAAGTTGCCGGTTTCATTAAATCACTAAATTGCTCTTTGAACCGCAGAAAGATTAACATCCAACACCTCAGCTGCATATTGGCTACGATCATCTTGAACTAAAGCCACTCCTCTTGCAGCGTCCGTCAATGTTAAGGACATTTTATTATACTTGGAATTAAGAATTCAACACGTTTTGATACTAAATCAGTATGACCGCTGAACTAAAAGCGACTAACAATGAATATCTTTTGGCTTATCAAAAGCAATTTTTTTAACAAAAACGTAAATTCTCATTTGTAACAAGAAATGCAAAAGTAATGTTAACATATTGGTTTATTTCACGTATGAGAAGGCATATCTAAATTTACATATGCCATTTAACAAGCCTAGAGTTTTAAAATTTGAAATAAATGAGAAATAAGGAATAGATCGTTCTTTTGCACCTGATTGTATATACGGGTACGGTATTATTTCAAGTAAAATCTATCCGGCAACGCCGCAAATATATTATGGATGGTGGGCTATCAAGTGAGTGTATGCCTATAGAAATTTGTAACTTCCTCATACTAATTTTGTAGTGTTCTAGTGCAATGTAAGACGCCGTCACTGAGATATTTCAATTAATAAAAAATGTTTTTATTTTGTTATTCTAAATTAAACTATTAATGAAAATGCGTAATAATGTATTTGGATAATTTCTTAACCCTACATTAGGTTAATAATTACAAAGGGTTTGTTTTGGTTCAAACAGAACCGTCGATTCCAGTTCTCAAATACAGTGGACGAATTAATTTTTCAAGAACACGTTGCGAGGTTTTAATAACCTCTTAGCTGATCGAGTGTAATTCAGTGATTCTGAACTAATTTCCGAAAGAACCAAAACAAGCCTATAGTAATCTAACAGACATTTGAGCTACCGCGAGTTAAGTGTAGCGATTACAATGTTGCCAAGTTGTAATCACTGTATCCCACTACGCGTCGACTGATTTAAAAATCTATATATTTTTACCAAAACCGTCAAAAAAGTCAGCGTTTTTTGAGAAAATTATATAATTTCTTTATTTACAAATACATCAGTTTTTAAAATATAGTAAGAACTGTTTTCGAGATATTTTGAAATAAATGCATTGCTTGTGTATATGACAGGCTTCAAGAATGTTAATTATGTACATTTTGATTGTTAATATTTCATTTCAAAGGCGGTCAATTTTTTTTTTTGTTACGTATAAGACATTTTCATTAACCATATATTTCAATTTTATTGAATTCTTAAGAAAAGCCATTTTACCAGTAAACAATCACAGAAAACTTAAAACCTAGAAAAAATTGATTTAGGGAACGTTTTTGCAAAACCTGGTGCTAATATAGAAGTCATAAGAAATGACAATGTTTGAAAAAAAAAGTGGGTCTTTAATCTTTAAAAGTTACATAAAGAAAATGAAATAATCAATACTGGATATACAGTTACAGGACAACGAATAGATGAGAGGAAAAACAAGGGTGATCTTTATTGAGACACACTGTGTAACAATAAAGCATACATTAGACATTAATTTGTTGAAATACTTGTTTGCAATGAAATGCCAAAAAATAAAAAAAATCTAATAGAAATAGTACAAACTAAAGAGACTGACCAAAAATATATTTAATGAATATTCACATGTATTCATTAAAATACCTACCATCCTCGTATGACGGCCCAACAACTGGCAAACAACGATGAAGAATTGATTATCAAACACACTCCTAATCGTTCTGGATAGTGGCGACTCAACAGCCAAATGAGATTTTTGACCAGCTGGTAATCCATGCAGGTCACTCCGAAGTCTTGGAGATCAAACACTATACAAAGGTTGTCCACTACTTCCTCAAAACATTTTTTGCAAGCGTCCTCCTGTAAATACATAAAAAAATAGTTTTAGAGATATTTTGGAGTAATCTGAGATAATAAGATTTTCATTTTGGTTCGTAGCATCAGTGTGGTATTAAAAGTTCAGGTTTAGTAACATTAAAAGGAAAAATACTGAAGGGTGGTCCAACTATAATGCAAGATGTTAATTGTGCATCACACCTTAACGTTAAGTTTTTTGCCCAACTTAATTTGACATGTCTTTGTTTAAGTGTTTGACAAATTCAACCATGGAGAGGTACACAATTGAGCAGCGCGTTAAGATTGTTGAACCTTTTATGAAAATGGGCATTCAAATCAAAATGCATTTCGCACACTTCGTGTTTTTTGGTTAGCATAATCGACCAAATGGGATAACGGACTTCTTGTGGCCAGAAATTGAGGATATGGACCTGGACAATATGTGGTTCCAACAGGATGGTGCCACTTGCCACACAGCCAACGAAACAATGGCTCTTTTGCGCGAGAAATTCAACGGCAGTGTTATCTCACGTCGTGGCAATGTTAATTGCGCCACGATCATGTGATTTGACACCGTTCGACTTCTTTCTTTGGGGATACTTAAAAGAAAAAGTATACGTCAATAAGCCAAGAATAATTCAAGAGCTAAAGAATGAGATAATTCGGCACAATAACGACATTGAACGTCAATTATGTCTCAGTCATTGAAAATATGGACCACCGGATAGAGGTATGCCACCGAAGTCGTGGCGAGCATTTGGCTGATATTTTGTTTCACACATAATTGCCATATATCCTTCTATCATAATAAAAAATATTAGGATAATTCTCTGAAAACTTTTTGTTTTATTTACAATTGACATCGTGCGTTTTGGTTGGACCACCCTTTAGTATAGGGGTATCAGAGTGGTATCATTGGAGTATCAGTGAGGTATTATCATATAAAGGGTGTTATTAAAAAGAGGAAATATATTCCGAGGGGTGATAGTGCTCATAAAAAATATGAAAATGTTTATATAAACATGTGTCCGAAAATAGCTTAATAAAATAGATAATTTTAGCAAAATTTTAAAACTAAAGTTCAGTTCCAAAATAGTAGACACTAAATTCTCAGAAATATTATTGCCTTAAAAAGAAAACAATTATTGTCAGGTTGTGATTCTAGATATTTTAGCATTTTCTATTTTAATCATTCACATGTCTATAAATAGCCATAGAATAACGAACGTGTTTTATTCGTTAAAGTATCTTCCTGTTAATGAAATGTTGCTAAACATCAATGTTTATTAAAAGAATATACAAAAATTGAATGATATTCTACATTTAAAAATTAAATGGCAACATTGTGGTCACAGATATGTTTATGAGACGGAGATGAGAACAAAAGATTAAAGTTGTCGTAAGGTAAAGATATACATATTGGCCCTAGCGGTGCTCCAGGTCAGGTAAACATTCATAGGCGTACCATAAAGCTGTTCTTGGTATTATGTGAGATAATCCCGGTAATGTAATAACTTATTGGAATTTGATTAATTTATGTCTTAATTACTTTTAATTAATTTTGTCTTGTAAGCAATATGGAAGTTGAGAGCAGTCATAGTAAACCCCATTGCCAAATTTATTTAAAGGAGAAAAACTATTATATACAACGTGTATTGTGGACTCCGTAAACAGAATAAAGTATGTTGGTTAACGACGTGTAGTAAATTTGTGTAGTGATTTAACTAAAGTGTCGACGAGAAGGGTTCAGAGAATTCTTAAAACTTTTAAAGAAAATGAAGGTAAATCTAATAATGTATCTAAAGTCATTGAAACCCGAGGAATAAAACAACCACACCAAGTAAGCTATTCGTAGGAAATTTTATTCGTTCTTTTCTGAAATGAATCCCCAACCTTCAAAAAAGTCGCAGCTGAAATAAGTTCCGATGATTCGATGCCCAAAATATCACCACGTTTTATTGCGAACATAAGAGCAAATGAACATTAAATTTATGATATGAAAAAAAGTGTTATAGAAAAAAAAATTGTATTATGGCGGAGAAAGTTCTTGCAAAAAATCCATCGTGAACGGAGAAAAATGTATTATTTAGATGATACTTGGCTGAATCAATGCCATACCAGGCCCATGACACTCCCTGGGCGGGAAAAAGACACGCAGCTTTTACTGCGCTGACGTTTTCGGGATATAACCTATCACTTGTCATAAATCCGGTTAAAAACTCGCTACCATGCGCAGGTAATCCATATTTCGTACACAAATACAAACTTTTGTTTACATTTTATTGAAGTAGTTTTTGTAATACATTCACAGCTTAAAAACGGAAAATTTGTTATTTTGATAGTGAATTTAGATCAAAAATACCCCAAATACACTTTAGTGTGTGTTTTATCCTTATTGTTACGTATTATTGCTCGTTTTATTTGAGAACATTGGAATAAATAGAGTACTAGAAGTAATCAAGCTAAAAAGGTGTCTTATAAGAAAAAAATACATTGCATTCGACTGATTTATGTTTAATATGTTTTCGTAAAGTATTTCCAACATGCTAGTTCCTTGAATGGTTGTAAATTGTAAGTGTATAAGTGATAGAAACTGATCTAGTGCTTTGTGCTTCGTTTTTTTTTGTGTTGGTGTCCCAGCCCGGCATTCCTAGCCAGCAGTAGTAGCAAAAACATTAACATTGTCTACATTCAACCCGTTTATATGTACATGATTCATCAGCTAAAAGCAGAATACAATAGTTCTCTGCAAAATGTAAACAACGCTACAAGGAAAATTGCTCATGTATAAATTCAACAATTAAATCAAAATATATTATTTTTAAAGGACTTATATCAACTATTATGTTAATTATAAATCTTATAATATAAATATTTGTAACAAAATAATAGTTGTGTATTAATAAATCTGTTACTAGTAGTAACTTACTACTCCAAAAAATATATTGTTTATTGATTATCAGGTATCAAAAATAATATCTTTCTTATTATAGTTGTAAATAAAAACAACACTTTTTATCCGTCCATTTAACACTTACAAACATATGCATATTTCAAGTTGTAAGGATCTGTAGCCTCTTAATTTTTTACATTAGACACAAGACCTGTGATGTCACATTAAATCCTGAATATGAAGTAAAGGATTTTGGAGTTGTCTTTCAGTCTAATTTGAAGTTTAATAACCATTTCTTACACATAACTAAAAAAACAATAAAAGCTTTGAGTTTTTAAATCATAAATACAAAAAAAATTTAGAATTACCTCCAAAATTAGATTATATAATGCCTTACTAAGACCCCATCTTGAGTATGTTTCACAAATATGGATGCCCTTGAAAGCCACACATATTGATCATAGTGAAAAAGCACAAAAAATATTTTTACCATACCCTTATGCCATAAAAAATACTTGTACCCTTATAAGATCACATATAACACTATGCTCGATAGTTTTAAGATTGAATCTCTTTTATAAAGAAGAAAGCAACAGGCTGTGATATATTTTGTACTCTATTTTAAATAATGTTAAGTACAAAAATTGTGATTTGATTGACTATATAAAGTTTAATGTGGCAAAGATTAATCTAAGAATCCCAAGTAACAAAAAATTATTTAGTTTAGATCCAAGTAGTATATCTCCTTTTAACAAGATAATGGCTATACCAATGAGTTTTTTAGCGAGGTCCAAATAGATATCTTTAATGTTAGCCTAAGAAAGTTGAGGACTGTACTAAATTAAGTTTACTAGATATAAAGGTTTGTTTTGTTTTTAAAGTTCTTGTTACTTAACTCTACATGTAACTACTATTAATTTTTTATAGTATCCAATAAATATATTATACCTTATGGCTGCTTTCAAACAATTCTGTGTGTAGTCACTCAGTTTAAAGTTAATTTTAAATTAATGAGTTTAATAAGAATGTCAAATAGTGCGATATGTATAGTGTCTATGAATTTGCTGTGTGTAGTAAATGGCCAATAAACATAACTTTAATATTTTTATTACAAGTTTTTTAAATAAATTCATAATAAAAAGTAACGATTTTAGTCTGCCATACTTGAACTTATTCACTAAAATAAGTCACTGAGTATATATATTTGTAAAAAAACTACACTAAATATGTCTCCATTATAAATTTTAATATTTAAAACTACATACTTTCCTATAGATTTTGCAGTAAGTACCTAAATAACACATAGAATAAATTTCTACAACATAGAAAAGTTTTAGATTAGAGTAATTCTTAAGAAATAAAGCAAAACCTCTATTTTATTACTCTAACCTTGTGTGTTATATATTTTCCTTGACAAGCTAACGTTATATTTTGAACTAAAAGTAATTAAACTTTTCACTAAAAAGTAATATTTCACATATATAAAAAAAATTTAAAACGGTTCTGCCTTCTCACATTTGCGAAGACTGCCCTGATATCTAATCTATTTTCTTCTTCAAAGTAATTAAGTTGTTCAACCGTTGTCTATAAAGGTATCTCACATCTCGCTCATACACACAAATTTGAAAAGCAGCAGAACAAAAATTCAACTAACCAGGTATACCAAGTCCGTGTAAAGAAAACTTTTCATATCCCGAAAACGTCAAGTGTCAACTAAAATTTCTACTTTTAAAGATCAAACGTGCCGCCTCAGAGTGCCAATACTGATTGGTATATATACTGGGGCCATACTGTGGCGACATCATAGCACCACATAGTCTTTCTTACCTTTAGTTTTGACTTTTACGTCAATTTATTTTAAGGTTTCTTAGTCAGTTTTTATTTGAGGTTGGTCAAGTGTCAATGTCAGGAGCGCGTTCAGATGACTTTACACGGGAGTAGACTAATTTTCTTAGATTGTTTGCCCAGATTACTCTAGAATAATTCTCATTGGCCCAAAATTTCTGAACGGCAACGAGAGTAAACGTCAACGAATTTTAAAATTATAGTTTTTTACAGTTATTTGTTTATAGACATTTTATTTCCTTATATGTTTGATGTTCCTCGCTTCCCGTTGTTATTGTTACTCGTGTCACGTATAGTTTTACTTTTTACTCATTTAATTTTTTTAAGCTGTTTTTCTTTCTTTTTATTTCAATATATACCTATTATAGAGATTATAATGAATGATCTATAAAGTCAATAAGACAAGAAATTTTAGATTATTTATTTTAAAACAAATTATTAAACCTTATAAAATTCCTTTATGACACCAAAATAATATGAAACAACAACTTCTGCAAAAGAACTTTACGTTCTGTCAAATTTACTCAAATTAACCCAGTCCAAACTGGGTATAAAAGAGTGCACTCTAGACTAATTTGACTCGACTTTCTGAACGAGAGTAGCTAAATGTCCAAATTGAACGCTCTACTGTTCCTGAACGAACCAAGAGCAAATTGAGCATGCTCTTTTTGGTCGGAGCGTGTTTCCTGAACGCGCTCCAGATGGTACCATTATAATATCACATATATTATGATCTTGGTCGATAGCTGCGTACACTAGCACCCTACTTATCCGATGGATGGTAACCATGGAAAAAGAAAACAAAAAAGACTGATTGATTACTGATTTCGAAAAAGACAAGACATACCTCGACACAACATTTTTCATATAATGTTTTTTTATATTTTAAAATAAAATTATAATTATTTACTGAAATTCTGATTTTCTGCTACCTACACATACTATCTCAAAGATGTGGCAAGATTTAGAAATAAAAAGCCATCGACAAGCTCTCATTGAAAGTCTGTCAACAGGATTAAAGGACGGAGACTCATAATAACACATATAGGCAGCGATTTGGGGTTACTTGGAAAACGCCTTGTTACTCTTCGAATCCAAGAAAACCAACGAGTACCATGAGGAAATAGAGACACAAAAGTTCGAAAGTTAGTTTTCAAAGATTTTACCAAGCCTCAAACCAAACTCTGTTGTCATCATGAACAATACATCCTAATATAGTAGACAAATGGAGCTGTCACCAACAACTGCTTGGCAAGAAGCTAATATCATTAACTGGCTATCTCAAAAAAGATACCATTCGATGCTAAAATGTTAAAAGTAGAATTACTAAATAGTCCTCCGCCTGCAATATTGTAAACATATTTAAAATGTTCAAGAGTTTCCCTTTGTCAATAGTTGGGTCGTCAGGTATATTACTTTTAAATGCATTTTTTTACCCTGAAAAATGAATTTATTTTTAATGTACTAATTCAGTATACAATATGATTAAAAATTTTATATTGATAATCAAAATATTAAACAATTTATTTTATTAATTACAGGTACTTGTGATTAATTTTCATGTTAAAGTGTTTTTGCAAGTATTAATAGTAGGTTGACATAATTAATTAGAATGTAGTTATAATTATTATTTGTTTTCATTTATTTTTTAGACAGTAAACAAGTATTGATACCTAACCTCTTAATCAGCACACTTTTTTCCCTTGTTGCGAACGTCCATGAAATTTCAACTACCTATTCAATTGCTCACAACTATGTGCAGAGTTATAAGCAAGTGAAACACCATTAACGATTTTTTCTAATGAATGATTTGTCTGTAGAGATAATAATGCTTTCCCAACTATTGTTTATCAAAACAGTACGAAACTTTTTAATTGCAGCTATTTCAATATGGCGGCTGCGCTTGCGCTCATCACATGATGAAAAGGCCTAATAATAAAATATGACTATTATTATTATTATTATTATTATTATTGTTTTTATTATTAATCATTGTTGTCTTATTTTATCTATGTTCTATTTTATCAATGTTCTATTTTATCAATGTTCTATTTTATCTATTACAACTTTAAGTACTCTTTTAAGTTTTTTATTTATATTATTTATTTCCTGTATCTTTTAAACTATATATTTTACTTTTGTATGTTATTTACAGTGCCAATGAGATGTAAAACTTTGTACAATAAAGCTATTTTGATTTGATTTGACAAATATTACAAGCTTGCCTACTAGATTTAACAGCACTAATGTACCAAGCATGATTATCAGTTATTAGTCAAGTATAATGTTTATCGATTAATTAATCAACTAAATTATTATTTATTATTAAATATTTATTAAATATATGAATTATTACATTGCGAGTGATTGTATCTTAGTAATGAATATAGAATTATAGGGGCTTAACCGTGTGGTATTAGTAATAAATTAGGTAATTTTAGTGGCACTAGAGGGCAAAATAAAGCTGTATACCTTTTAAAAGGTATTATGAGCATTAAAATAAGGTCATAAAGTGTTAAGGGAGCATTGGAATATGTAATACAGTATACTTTAACCAATGCATTTAGCAAAATAAAGATAAGACACTTAATTACATTTGGACGTGGTTTAGCTATACTCTTTCGATGGCAAGAAGGGGATATATTCTGGTACACAGTCGGTGAGGTATTATTTTATTTCAGTCTATTCAATTGTATTGTTTTCTATACTGTTTTCCTGGAGCCAGTATTGGAAAGTTAATGTAGGGTATACTGAGGTTTTAAAATAAAATACATAAAACATTTATTAAATAATTATGTGTTTTATAAGGGAGGGAGATAGTATAAAGAGCTTAGAGGCTATGTAGCTCTGGGAAGTACATACCTAAGTACTTGTTATTAGCCTTATATGATATATTAGGGTAATATGTCCATTAGAGGTAATAAGATTTTTAATTAGTTCACAGTTTTAGGATATCTTTAGTTTATAAGAGCTGTTGAAATAATTTTAGCAGATATTCACCAAATATTAATTAGCAAACTATTTTTTTAAGATTTTCCAATGACTTTTTTGTTATAATAAAATGTAGTGTCACAAAAACCAGGTTATTTCGTTATTAAAATAATACATAAGAATTTGTATATATTTTTAGAAAATTACAAAATATCCACAAATTTTAAACCTCAGGAAGATAAACCACTTTTCTTATATCTACCATAATAGTCGTTTTCTTTTTACAGGTATACTTGACTAACTAAAAGTTAGATTCTGATATAAGCTAAGTTAATTTATTCAAAATTCCACACTACGATCTTGTCCCCTGTTATCATCGTCTTTTAATATCTCTAAAATAATGAATTCATAGGATAGGTATCTTTGTTCGTACGATGCACAGAACACTAATTATGTTATGGTTTATGGTTGACGTCAAGATCCATGTACCTTAGCATCGGTAAAGGGGGAAGAAAGATTCTAACTTACAATCACAAAAAGAACGTAGGTGCAACTAAGCTTAGTCAATGTAATTTAGCTCAGATTAGTGGTAAAAAGAAAGTGACTAATATAATCATATACAGAAATTTTAAATTTTATTATCACAAAAACAAAACACTTAATTCCATAGATAAAGAATTCTTACCAGACAATAGACAATAAATTTTGTTAATTCATCTATATCCCTATTACTAGCATTGTGGTTTTTTGCTGGTATGTAAACTACAGGCCTGCCGATCATATCTCTATACTTTAAAACCCTGGCTTTGTTTGCTTCTAAATTCTTTTTGATTTCTGGTGTCTCTGGAGTTAAAGTTTCTACTCCATATTCTTTCCTCCATTTATTTGTTTTTAGAATAGCCTGAAATTTGAAGATTTTATATAAAATTGATCCAGTATGTACTTCCATATTACATTAATATTTTTTATAAGTAGCATACTTATTAATTGTTATCAAATATGTATTTTTAATATTAATTATAACCCCACTTTATAACATAATCTCTTTCTCTCACCTTAAATGCATCGTCAACAGTTTTAAACGCCCTCAAATATCGTTTTAACGAAAATTCATTGTGAAATTGTGATGGATCAGCTTCGGCAATTAATTTCATTCTGTTTTTCAGTTCCTTGAGATCTGCTTCATTTACAGGTTTCACTTTATTTTCTGCCATATCTTTAGGGATTTTACTACTGATTTTCAGAAAGTGACTAAGATTTAATTGTTACGTTTTAATACACTTTCACTAAACTACAAGTTTTTTTATTGAATTTATCTTATATATCTTATCTAGGATTTCACCTACATATCTAAATAAATCCATCTGGTTTTGACAAATTGACAATTCATGTAATCAATTTTTGCAGTTGCGTGTTGAGTTGATGGGAACAAAAAATTTGACAAAGTTTGAAGCCCAGGAAGGTGCTTTATTGATAATACAATTTTAAGGTCAATTTAATATTAATATAAATTATGTTTCCTCTTTAAAATGAATAAAAACAAAAAAAATAGCAGCAAACATTTAAATTTAATGATGGAACGTCATGTCTTGTCATGTGCTCTCTTTTAATAGAAATCTGTAATACAAATTTTTAGCCGTCAAATAAATAATTACAGGGTTCTGTAAGTCAGATTAACAAGCTTATCAGCTAACTGTATAGATGGCGCAAGATATACTATACAAGAAGTAAATTTCAAAAAATGAGTTATTTGTATGCAAAATACGAAAAAAAAAAATAAAAAACAAGAATGAAGAAGGAAAATAAATATAGGAAAATAATAAAAATAGTATAAAGAACTCGTTTCAATGCACTAATGTCAATTTGAGCTGATTACATAAATAGTATACGTATTAAAAAAAAAGGAGAAAAATTAAGAATGACATTAATGACAAATGATGTTGACTAATGTCATTATTGACATTTTTGTCAAAATTAGAACGGTCGTTAACATTTTTGGTGTTAAATAGATTTGTGGTCCATTTTATTGTAATAAAATTTGAAAATCATGGATTTTCAAAATAGACCTGGTGGAAAAACCGGAGGAGGTGGTGTTGCTTCCTGGTCCGAAACAAACCGGGACCGAAGAGAACGGTTAAGACAACTCGCTTTAGAAACCATCGATTTACAAAAAGATCCCTATTTTATGAAAAACCACTTAGGTTCTTATGAATGCAAGCTTTGTTTAACCTTACACAACAACGAAGGTAGTTATTTAGCTCATACGCAAGGAAAAAAGCATCAAGCTAATTTAGCTAGACGAGCGGCCAAAGAAGCTAAAGACGCACCCTCCCTATTGCAACCAGAGAAGCCTCGAGTCGAACCTAAGAAATTCGTGAAAATCGGTAGACCTGGTTATAGAGTTACGAAGCAGAGGGACCCAGAAAATGGCCACCAGAGTTTACTGTTTCAAATTGATTATCCAGGTAATTTTTATTGTTAAATTCAGGAGTGGAAATTCTGAAATGTTCATAGGACTCCTTACTCACTTGAATGAGCTTTTATAAAAATATTGTTTCTTTTTATGAATGTAATGTAACCTAAAAAGCAAAATGGAGGTGTAATTGAGGGGCTAGAAGATTTTTTGGGTGATTGGGGGTACTATTAAGATTATCTCTCTTTTTTTTTTTAGAAATCAGTGATGTAGTCCTTCCTCGACATCGCTTTATGTCAGCTTATGAACAAAAAATAGAACCTCCAGACCGCAAATGGCAGTACCTTTTGTTTGCAGCTGAGCCATATGAAACCATTGCCTTTAAAGTACCATCAAGGGAAGTGGAAAAAACTGACAATAAGTTTTGGACTCATTGGAATAAGGATACAAAGCAGTTTTTCCTGCAGTTTGCGTTCAAAAATGAGAACAAACGTACTGCTAATACTGTTGTGACAAGACATCAGTTGGTCAGTGGAGTGCCACCTCCTCCGATGTTGCCAGTGCCTCCACCTCCTAGGCCTCCTATGTTTAATCCAATTCCTCCACCACCACCTATGATGAGGGCTGTGATGCCGGTACCGCCTCCACGTTAAAATGGTTCTTACTTGTAATGAATAATCATTAAATATATATAAGATTAAAATGTCTTCTTTCAAAGCACTTTCAGAAATTATTACAGAACTATAATAATTATCTACTAAAAAATTATTTTTGTCAAAAAATTATGTTAAATTAATAAAAACTATAAATTTTCATGATAATATAAATTCTAGAGAATCTTAATTTGTGGTTCCCACATTTTTGAAACATTGAATTTTCAGGTTTGTGAAGCATTGGTATTACTTAGGCTAAATCACATTGCTAGCTCTGGTTTTTTATAATTGATTATTTACCAATGATATACAGGATGTTCCTTAATGATATAAAAATATATAAGGGTGTAAATCTACCCCCCACCATTGAAACTACCCATTTCGTGCAGCACCAATCTATACCTGCTATCCAGTACTTTCAAATACTTAAAGTATCTTTTTATACTTAAATTTTTACTTCAAGTATTTAAAATACTCGCTTATAATACCACTACTGCCTAGATTGTTTCAGGAATTTTTTTTTGAACTTACGATAATTTTCTTAAAATATTCGGGAGTGAGAAAAAATTTCCAGACAATTATTAGGCATGTGCAGTATTCGGTAATAAAATTTTACACCGAAATATCAAAATTTTAAAACTTGACACACATACATTAAAACAAAATCAAATTTGCAAATTTTGCCATGCCAATTATGCATATCTATCATATTTGAAGTCGTTTAGTCGACGCGAAAAACCTAATTATTATTTTACTTAAATATAATGTATTTCTATCTACTTATAAATGGTATTAATTTAAATATTAATCCTTCAAATGGCTAAATATTTTAATCACATCGTCGCGTCGTAATATCATGTGCATGAAAGATTTCAAATGTCAAAAAATTTCGTTCAGGGTACCCACCAGGGGGTCAATTCTCGACTTGTAGGAACCTTTTCCTATTGGAATTTGTGACACTTTCCTATTGTAGGAAAATGTCATAAATTTTCGATGTATATAAAAATGTCAAAAATTCCTATAGGAAAATATTCCTACGAGTCGAGAAATTCGATCATGTATTAGGATAGATACGCCTTACCTGTGGAAGTAATGGGTTTAATGATTATGATTATGAAGGGGTTATATATTGTTAATTACTATAAAATGTTAGATGAAAGTGGATGGACATGATTTTAAAAATATTGTTTTATAGCGTATATTTTTAACTTTCAATGTAAGAATAGTTTTTCACAGTATTGTGATACTACGTAGAGCATGCACAGGCTTGTCATATTGTATATTATTTACTCAATTTTATAGGATTATTAATTTTGTACTTTAAACAATTTGTATACATTTTGAGTAAATATACCTACTATAAAGCTTGACTGATAAAGGAGAAAAGAAAATAAAAAAATATTGTGAAGAACCCGTTTTATATGTGAAGCAAGAATATTATACATATTTCTGACTACATACCTTCCTTTATGAAATAAAATAAAGACCAATTAAAGCATTTTATTTATCAACCAAAAATATTTATACACAAATAATAATAATACTCTCCCTAATTACGGAGATTAATGAACTTTATTATTTACAAAGTACTGTAGCAAAATTTTGCCGTACACAAGTTAGAGGGAACAGAAGAAATAATGGCATTGTGTTTGTTCTCTTTTTAACAATTCTGACAATGCATGAAGTGGTGTGAATAATTTAAAATGGGTAGCGTCGATTGACATTTTCTGATATTTTTAAATACCTATAATAAGAATCCCTTATTTAAAATGGTTTTATTTGGATAGATGGCTATTTTAAAAAAATTTAAATGCAAATAAAAACCTACAATAAATAGGTACATATTATATATAATTAAAAATAAGCTTCAAGATTTATTTTCATTTTTTTAAAATAATATTTAAAGTAGTTCATTCGCAAGACGGCTTTTCTTAAGAGTTCAATAAAATTAAAATATAACGTTAAAGAAAATGTCTTTTACGTACCTAACAAAAAAAAAATTTTTTTGACCGTCTGTGAAACGAGATATTAACAATGAAATTGTGCATAATTAACAGTCTTGAAGCCTGTCATGTACATTAGCAATGCATTTATTTCAAGATATTTCGAAAACAATTCTTACTATATTTTTTTAAAAACTAATGTAATGTAAATCAAAAAGCTATACAATTTTCTAAAAAAACGTTGAATTTTTTGACCGTTTTGGTAAAAAGATAGATTTTTAAAAGAAAAATATGTTTAAAGCAGTCGACGCGTAGTGGGGTACAATGATTACAACTTGGCAACATTATTGTTATTTCAGAATCACTGAATTACACTCGATCAGCTAAGAGGTTGTTATAACCTCGTGAAGTGTTCTTGAAAAATTAATTTGTCTACTGTATTTGAGAACTGGAATCGACGCTTCTGTTTGAACCAAAACAAAACCTTAAAATTAGTATGAGGAAGTCACAAAATTTCTATAGGTATACACTTGATATCGCACCATTCCTATATTTGTGACGTTGCCGGATGAATTTTACTTGAAATAATAACGTATCCGTACATAAGCTTACATGTGTTATGTTCAGTATCTTACAAAAATAACATTTTTCAGCATTGAGAATCTCAAACTATTGGCGATATTTTTGTGTACGACTGTCGCGCGTGAACTACCTTAATAATTACTACATGTAAACAACTCATTTTAAATTGGTCTGTATTAGATACCATAAGTATTTAGGGTGAGATTACAGAACGTCTGCAACTTTGCAAATATGGCGGACTTACAAATGTAAGTATTCCAAAAAATATCTGCAAATTCGCAATATTTATTGTGGTTTATTACCCCCAACAACACTAAACCCAAATTTGGAATACGAAAACTTGTTACTTGCATGTGTAAGTCAGTCATATTTGCAGATTTTCAAAGTTGCCGCTATATTTGCAGATCTGCAAAGTTGCAGACGTTCTGTAATCTCACCCTTAGTATATTTACCTGCAGTAAAATTTACAATTCAAAACCCATTGGTTATATTTAGGCAGTACCCCGCGCATATGGGATCATTATTATGTTCCTCCATAATCCAAGGGGGTTTATCGTTTTGATTATTTTGTCTTAAAATTGTATACTGATATTTCGAAAACAGAGTCACTTCCATGGTTTTATGCAATATTCAACATTTTAACTGACAATTGGCAACGTTGTAACCATTTGCAATTATTATACAGGCTCCTTATGAATAATAAACAATATTTTCATATTAATTTGCTTCTAAATGCCCAATTAAACGAATACATGAATTTCTTAGAATACTGAAGACTTTTACGTAAAAATTATGATGCGATAGCTAATTGTACAAAAAAGGTTTACCAAAATATGAGTGGCATGTCACGACGCTTCTGTCAAAAATAAGGGTAGCTTAGATATTAGATTTAAAAGGAGTTTAACATTATGTGTCTGAGTCCACCGCGACCTTTTCAGATCTATTGTGGGACTCCGTTTGTTTTAGAGTATGTCATCTAAGCTTGGACTTTTTTATTAGACTTA